AAAATCTTATTGCACATACTTTATGATTATTAAAATTGATTTCTTAAAATGGCTTGTGTTTTCAAATCTCAATGCACAGGCTAGCAATTGATTTGTCGAAATAAGGCTAAGGGCTGTTGTGCTTTTTTTACTAATGGTAAAAATGTGTCACGTAACTGTCACGTCAACTTTTACAGTTTTTACTATTTTCACAATTTTCATCTACGGATTAGGGTGTGGTAAATTGTTTACCTATGAGTTTTTTTTTTCTTTTTTTTTTTGTTTTGTTTTTTAATTTCAATAAAAAAAAAATAAGAACTTTTTTAAAAACCACATTCTTAAAAATTACATTTTAGAAATCCTAAAAGTAAAAAATAACATGAAATTAAAAATTACATTAAAAACCTTAAAAAAATAATAATAATAACATCGAAATTTCATTTGCCATTTAGCTTATATTTTTCGCGAATAAACTGTTTCACCTCTTTAACCACCTCTTGATCTTCAGGGTCGAGGTGTCTCACATTTTGCATTAACAACGAATATTCTGTGAGTCGAACGGTTTCAACCATATACCTCTCCAAAGTTGTATTCAATTGTGTCATTTGTATCATCATTTCCTCCGATCTAACTGGCCACTCGGTTTTGAAGTATCGCTTTCCCTTTTTCTTTTGCTCGAGCTTTTATTTTGTCCCTTCCCATTGGAAGAGGCGGGCATATTTCTTCAATGTCTTCATTATCATCATTAAGATTAACGCCTACATGACCATCCGACGAGACTTGTTGCGAGCTCAAATATGAAGATGATCAGCTTCTTTTTGGCGGATTAGCAATTTCTTCATGTGTTACAAGTTCCCTCCACCTAATGTTTATTCTGACTGCTTCTCACACATGAATAAACTTATTAGACTTTAGCATATCATCTTGGAATGTAGTGTGTGTGTTTTTCAACAAACTCATTTCACTTTCTCCGCTAGCTCATTACTTTTCAAAGTTTGTGTAAATTACATCCCAATGTGTGACGACTTTGTTCATAAGATTTCATTTAGAGTTACATTGGTTGGAGATCCGATAATCTGGATTTGACTCATTCCCTTACAAAATCGCTCTGTGATATGTAACCATAATTGATAACGATTTTGACTCTTTCCTGTGCCACCATCTTCAGATATGTCGACTCATCCATTTGCTAACTCAACTTCTTCTTTTTGTGTCCATCTTCTTGGATCAGTCTTCCCTTTCTTTTGTTGTTGAGGTTGTTGCTCTTCATATTCGGAATAATAAACAATTTCATTGAAGGTGTGAATGGCAGGTAGGATGAAAATTAGGTTTGGTGTTGAGATTGGAAATGGAATTGTTGGGGCATTTGGAATTGTGAATAATAGCTAGGAACACCATCCATTTGTGGCCGGTAAGGTGGTGGTGATGACAGGTCGTGACCGAAAAGTGCAAAAGAGTTGTTAACATTTTGGTCTGAAGCATTTTGTTTTGAAGAGTTTGAATCGTTGGAATATATTTTCAATGAAAAATGTTTGTTGAGAGTGTATAGTTATACAGTAGATTAAAAAAAATGTCAAAATAGCCTTTGCCCACCGTTTGACGACGCTCCCTTCCCCAAACTCCCCCAAACAGTCAAAAATTCAAATGTGCATCACCAACAGAAAGCCACCGGCAGTAAAAACAACCCACGCCCGGTGTTCACCAACGATGAAAGTGTGACACGTCAGATACCGCCGATGAAACCGTTACCATACCATGTAGCCTAAGAGTTTATTCTCTAGCATGTGTATAATGATTTAATAATTAATGATATTCCAATTTCTTTGGAGACACTAAATTATTATTAAACCTGCTTAAAAATAAAAGTTAACCCGATCTCCCTATCTAATAAACAAAACCATCTGGACACGTGTCATTACAATCATTCATTTTTCGCCCTATGTTAAATTACTCTATTACCCCTTCAGCATCCTTTCACGTATCATTAGGTAATTAGGTAATAGATAATAGGTAATTAGGTATGGAATGGAATTAGATTATATATGGAATATGGAATATGGAAAATATGGAATATGGAATTTCATGTAGCATTACATATTGAATATGGATGGAAATAATGATATTGTATCGAAATCTCTGGAATATTGAATCTGAAAGTATCGATATTTTGTAATTTGAAATTTGAATATAGAATAACTGTTGTATACATTAAATCAATTCCGTTACATGCCCGATTAAGAGCATCTAAAAATGGTATGCATATCAATCAATTATTATGCGCATAACATACTATATCAATCATATTCCGCTTCAATTACATAATTCAATCCCTAGGACAGTCTCTGCATCTCAATTCTGCTTCTTAATTTCGAATATTCAATTAGCAACTTCAATCCTTCGGTGAGTTTCTCATGATTATATATGATTGCTTCTCAATGTTTGTGTTAATCGTATAATTGAAAATTCTTTTCTTCTTCTGCGACTTCAATTTTGCTTCTCATTGAATTTGTTAATCAAGGTTTCTATTTATCTTTGATTCAGAAGTTGTTTATTAATTATTTTCTATCTTAAATTCTTTATTCGATCCACTAAATTGATCAATAATGTGTATGTGTATGTGTAAAAATAAGTTTGTGTTACGTATGTCTGTGTTAATCATCACAAACATTGATGACATGTACTGTTTGAATGGATTGCTATTATCTTTGTAGTTCCAATTTCGATTTTCTGCATTCTTTAACTATGAAGAAGAGCAAATTGGACTAATATACCCCTACCACGGCCTGCAATTTTTTGAAATTAATGTTTATTTTATGTAAGCCCTGTTTCTCAATGTCCTTTGCTGCTTTTGATACTTACTTTTATATTGCTAAAATACCCTTTTTACCCTTTATTTATATTTGATCATATTATACGGCTTTTTAATCGTAAAGGCCAAATTTATCTTTGTTGTTCTATATTGAATTTCGATTTTCTGCATTTTTTAGCTATGTTTGTATACTCAATTTGTTGTTCTACATTTGTAAAATTCCCTATTTACCCTTGGTATCAAGATCAAGATCAATTTTCGTTATTATGTTCAATATATAATTGAAACATAGGAATAACAATCATTCTTTACTGCATATTGTTCCAGCAATCAAGAATCATTCTTCAATCGGCTACTTCAACCGTTCTGTAAGTTTCTTATTTTTTTCCAATTCTCAGTTTTTTGTTTTTTCTGAACTTCATATGCTTCAATCAATTTTCGTTATATGCTCGATTAAGGACATTAACGACAGTAATTCTGTAAGTTTCTTATTATCAATTTTGGTTCTGGTTGTGTATATGTACGACCATGATTCTCGATTGTTGTGTTAATCAAATTTCGTTATATGCTCGGTTAAGGACATTAGACACAGTAATCTGAATATGGCAGCAAGCATTAACGACAGTAAACTTTACTTACAATTCCATTAACACCCTTTATTTACCATAATATAGAATTTTAGTTTTCAGTTATTTACCTGTTATAGCATGCTTCTTTCAAACAAGTAATTATAACAAAACAGTTAGCATTTCATTTTCTGTCAAATTTCTAAAAAATAGCTATATAAATTTTGAATCACACTTTGCACTTTCTGTTTTATGGCTGTTTATAGCATTTAACTTTTGTTTTCTGTCAAATTTAGCATCTTACTTGGTTCCTATTTTTCTGATTTTCCTGTTTAGGTTATGTTTTATCATTGTTTAAATCCATTACTATTGCAAAATTTTACATCGATATTTTTTTAATATACAATTAACAATTTCAGAATTTTGACTTATTTTCCTAACATTTTTACCTATTTTTACTAAATTTTACAGATCCAACTTAAGGGCCTCTTTCTAATAAGGATACATTTGGTATATTACTAAATTGAAGTTTTCTTTCAAATAAAGGAATCATATACAGATCAAAGTTATCATTATTATTTTTAATTATGAATGTTGTATAGGGGTATATAGTTTCTGTTAGCATGTTTCTTTCAGAATTTGTTTTCTTTGTATGAATGTTTCACTATAACCATATTGTATTATTCAGTTTGTTCTTATATTATTAGTACTCCATACACATAATTGTAATTATTTTGTGTACTTTTCTGTTATAGTGACAATGGCAAAAAGAAAGATTACTTTCATTAGAGACTTGGACAATATGAAGGATGATTACACACTAAAAGTGTCTATCATCCGGCTGTGGAAATCGCTTTCAGATGGCAACCCCACTATTGTCAGATCAATTGAGATGATACTCATGGATGAAATGGTAAAATCTACTATTTTAATAGCATTATTCAAAACCATTTTTTTTATTTGATCATTCCAATAATATTATTCAAACACAATCATTGAAGATGTTATCTTCAATGTTGACCAATTTATATTTATTAAAAATTCCCTTTTTAACATTATATAATATTCTTACCCTATGTGAATAGTGTACAAAAATCCGAGCAAGTGTGTATCCAAGAGATTTTCAAAGGTTTGAGTCCAAATTGAAAGAAGATCAAGCTGTTTACATCTGGTCCCCCACTATCACTCCTAACAAATACACTTTTAAAATAAGTGATGTAACCTCCAAGTTAAATTTGCATGGAAGAACAACTGTTAACGAGTGTCTACACTTTCAATCCAAAACAACATATGGATTTTCTTTTGTTTCTTTTGAAACAATTATCTCTGCAACAGCTACATCTAATGAATCAATTGGTAATTTCCCTCCTTATTGATTGTATATTATATTTAATTCTTTAAATTCACATCATTTTGACATTCTGTATTATCATTTTGTACATATTATTGGTGAAGTTGTTTCATTAGGAAAGCTTGATTCCCGTGATGTCAGCAAAATCTCTACATAGGCTGCCTTTACAAATAAGAAACTTAGAGTAACCAAAACTTTTTTTATATTATATCTTATATCTTATATCTTATATATTACATTCATTACTTTACAACTTGCATGTAGAATTTTAGTATTATATATTCATTTAACCATTATTATTTTTGCAGAGGTTTGCAAGTTAACGTTACGTTGTTTGGAGATATTGCATACCAGTTAATTTCTTATCTTGAAGCTCATAAAGAAGTTGGTCGTGTGATTGTCCTTTTGCAATTTGCAAGAATTAATGTCTATAACGGTAAATTTTTTATACCAATCAACCTTATTTTAGTCTTTTATATTACTCATTCTATTTACTATTTTATTTTGTTTCATCGGCAACACCTTCTGTTAACAGTTATTTTGAACAAACACGGATGTTCATAAATGCTAATCTTCCCGAAATTGTTACATTCACAGATAGGTAACTGTACATTTTAATAATTCATCGTTTTGTTGTTTCTGTTCAATAATTTTATAATTTTATTTTCAAACTCCTAAATTAAAAACAGCTTGGTTGGATTACGAGGACTTCAAAACCCTTCTGCTTCTTTGACTGTTGAAAGCTCTAAATCATATTCGGAATCTGATGACTTTTTGAATAATTACAAAGTTAAAAATGTTTTCGATTTGATAGAACCACAAGAGGTATGTGAATATTTTATCTGTATTGATGTGATATTGTTTTCTATTTAACAGATAATAAAATTATAATTTTTTTTATGATCGTTTTGATTTTTTTTAGGTCGGCCAATATATCATTGTCGGGACCATTTATGGTATTCGCCAAGATATTGATTGGTATTATGATGCGTGTACAAACTGTGGAAAGAAAGTTGAAACAGAAGATGTGTTCAGTGGTCCAGATAATGGTGATGCAAGTGTCATTTTAAAATGCAATGGTGATAATTGTAAAAATAAGAAGATCTCTTCTGTTCCAAGGTTTTTTTACATTTAAGAAAATATCAACTGAACAACTTAACTACATTATTAACCATTAAACATATTTAATGTTTATTTATCTGGGAATTTTTTATAGGTACAAAATACCTATTCGTGTGCAAGATGATTCTGGAACAATCACTCTAACTCTCTTCGATAGAGATGCTTATAGAATCGTCAAAAAACACGCACGTGATCTTATAGATAAAATCAAACAGGTATAACATACTTATAATTTTTGTTTTCTTAATTGCTGTTATTTGTTGTATTTTCTTTATATTAATGTGCTTTTAAACATAAATATATTATATAACACATTTATTCCAGGCTGGGGATAATCCAAGATTATATCTTTATGACCTCAAATGTTTGGAGTATAAAAAGATGGCTTTTAAGATAGATGTTAATAGTTTTAATGTATCCAATAACTACAATCGGTTTGGGATACTTGGCTATACGGTTGATAGTAACGTTATCGATGCTTTGGAAAAAAAGTTAGCTGTCGAGGTATTTATATATTATTTTTATTTGTTTTTTTAATATTACTTTTTATGATGCATATTTTTTTAATGATCTTCACTAATAAATTGTAAATCTATATTGATTTAGAGCTATGTCCCACAAATTATATAAATATTTAAATGTCTGATTCAGGTAGGTAGTCCTGCAAATGTTGATGATACAGAAATCGCATCTCATGAAGTATCTCAAGAAACAAAGTCCTTAAAGGTTATATTATAAATTTACATTATTTAATTTTATATAATCTATTTTAAAAATTACTTTTTGTTAATATTTTATTACTAAACCTATTTACAACATTTTGTTTTAAGGATGTGATATCGCAAACAGGTGATAATTTGACCCCAACATTGCCTGACAAATTTGAAGCTACAAGTCCGTTCAAGTATAATTCCCCAACAATAGTAAAAAAAAACGAAATGTTGGAGATACCATTGATGTTGATGATTATGATAATGTGAATTCATCCACCAAGGTCCCTCGATTGAATTCCAAAGTTGATGGCAACACAGGTCTATTAATACCAAAGCTTGAAAAGTAATTTCAGATTGTCCTTTTTTAATCAACACTGTTCTTGAATTTGGATTTTTTTTGGATTCTCTTTCACAGTATTGCTCTTTGTGGTGTCCACTGTTCAAACATTGATACTTCTTGCTTTATTTTCGTTGGTATTCTATATTTTAATACGATTATCATTTTATGGTTATCATTGTAATTAGACTAATCTTCTTTTAATAAATGTGTGGCATATATGTTTGTGTATTTATGTGTAAAATAAGCAAATAAATATGTTTCTAAAGAGTCTTATCAGAAACATACTAATTATTTAACGATGGTGGTCTTGACAAGTATTAGTTCGTTTCAAGCATATACAAATAAGTATATTACATACAACTAAATTACATTACTTGTATTTACAATCATAGATACTAATAAGGGATATTTTTGGTTCTGGGCAAGGATGTATTCATTTTAACCTCATAAATAATTTTTCTGATGAAATTAAAGTGATAACATAAATAAAGTACATACCTCTGGAATAATTTATGGGCAACAATGGAGTCTCCATCAAATACACAACCAACTAAATGCCCACCAGTAGCAACCAACATAACTCTAAAACATGTGTTGTTTCTAGGTTCATCTATCACATTCAGATTTTTTTACCAATATATCTGCAATAAAAATAAAAATAAATTACAATCAATAACATTCTACTTTTCAATTTCGTGTTATAAGATATCAATATATTTGCTTTATAAAAAAGATGTCTCAAATTTGAATACATTCAATAAATTCCTGTTCAAAATAATGATCATTTTTTAAACATGGACATATTCATAATTTTCACAATAAAATGGTATATTGGTGCATGCATTCTTGGGAATGTGCTTTGATATTATTTGAGGTATTGTATTAAAAAAAAATTGTAATCAAGCTGTCAAATGAGATTTCTCATAATATTGAACACGCAACAGAATAAACAATGCATCAGATGTCAATTTTGCCCTTTGTCAATTCTTTTGATCAGCTCTAAAATTTCAATCATTTAAATTCCATAAATTAATACTACAAGCAACAGAAGATTATCATTAGGTCATGCAACTCCTAAACCGGATATCAATTCCAAAACTACCCCTACTACTTCCCGTCCTACCAAAAAAATCGATGGATTCTGCAAGCCTTTTTCTCCCATTTCTTCCAAAACTACCCCTAATGTCACAACAGAAGCTGAGAAAAAACACGACATGCTACAAAAAAAACATTTCAAAATAACAATAACAATATGTCGTTATTTACTACCCCTACTAAAACTACAATATTTGGTTTAGAGGATGAAAATACAAATAGAACTCCAAAAACAAATTTAATTCCGATTTTACCCTCCACCCCATATACTAAGGGTTCTATTGCGATGCAAACAGCTGTTACACCTGCCCCTGTTTTCATAAAGGAGATTGTTCCTGAAGAGGTTATTGAGTATTCCTTTGAAGAAAGAAGAGATGGTTTTGTTTTTTTGAAAGTCAAATTGCAATTGGCTTGTAATATGAATTGAATTCGTATGTTGCTCTTTTGGTATTTGGTATGTTATTATAACTGGCAAATACTTCTTTGCCTTAACGTTGTCCTTTGGAAGCATAAATAAATTAATAAATAAAACGATTGTTTGAATTTTTGACTACTGTCCTACCAAAAATTCACGTTCCTGTCAATGTTAAATCTCATTTTTACCCCTGATTGGTTTCACGTACTATTACAGTCTTTGTTTTGATTTGATTTGATTAACAATCGAAATATCGATATTTTGTAATTTGAAATTTGAATATGGAATAACTGTTGTATACATTAAATAAATTCTGTTACATGCCCGATTAAGAGCATCTAAAAATGGTATGCATATCAATCAATTATTATGCGCATAACATACTATATCAATCATATTCCGCTTCAATTACATAATTCAATCCCTAGGACAGTCTCTGCATCTCAATTCTGCTTCTTAATTTCGAATATTCAATCAGCAACTTCAATCCTTCGGTGAGTTTCTCATGATTATATATGATTGCTTCTCAATGTTTGTGTTAATCGTATAATTGAAAATTCTTTTCTTCTTCTGCGACTTCAATTTTGCTTCTCATTGAATTTGTTAATCGAGGTTTCTATTTATCTTTGATTCAGAAGTTGTTTATTAATTATTTTCTATCTTAAATTCTTTATTCGATCCACTAAATTGATCATCAATGTGTATTTGTATGTGTAAAAATAAGCTTGTGTTACGTATGTCTGTGTTAATCATCACAGACATTGATGACGTGTACTGTTTGAATGAATTGCTATTATCTTTGTAGTTCCAATTTCGATTTTCTGCATTCTTTAACTATGAAGAAGAGCAAATTGGACTAATATACCCCTACCACGGCCTGCAATTTTATGAATTTAATGTTTATTTTATGTAAGCCCTGTTTCTCAATGTCCTTTGCTGCTGTTGATACTTACTTTTATATTGCTAAAATACCCTTTTTACCCTTTATTTATATTTGATCATATTATACGGCTTTTTAATCGTAAAGGCCAAATTTATCTTTGTTGTTCTATATTGAATTTCGATTTTCTGCATTTTTTAGCTATGTTTGTATACTCAATTTGTTGTTCTACATTTGTAAAATTCCCTATTTACCCTTGGTATCAAGATCAAGATCAATTTTCGTTATTATGTTCAATATATAATTGAAACATAGGAATGACAATCATTCTTTACTGCATATTGTTCCAGCAATCAAGAATCATTCTTCAATCGGCTACTTCAATCGTTCTGTAAGTTTCTTATTGTTTTTTCCAATTCTCGGTTTTTTGTTTTTTCTGAACTTCATATGCTTCAATCAATTTTCATTATATGCTCGATTAAGGACATTAACGACAGTAATTCTGTAAGTTTCTTATTATCAATTTTGGTTCTAGTTGTGTAAATGTACGGCCATGATTCTCGATTGTTGTGTTAATCAAAATCATCCTCCCTAATAGTATCTTTTCCAACAATGCTTATCTTTTTATAACATAATAAACATTAGTTCCAATAGTTACAAAGTAAAATAACAGAATGAAAGAAAAATGTAATCCAACAATACAGTACAAAAAAAATTATATCTGCAACAAAATTCGGAAACATTACATATAAAGGCATTGTACTTTAGTATTTCATGTCATACGTAAGTTCAATCGACAACATTTTTTTTTATTTTTAAACTAGGTTACAACCCGTGGAAACCACGGGTAAAAGATTTATAAAAATTTATTAAACTAATAATATATAAGTTTTATTTAGACAAAAACAAAAAGTTATAATAAAATATGTTTAAATAAATTAATGATGTGAATAATTACTAAAAAAATTATTGCATACCCACAAACCAAAAAAAATCAAATTCATATTTTAATTTTGTATTTGCATTCGAACATTTGAAGAGTTCTATTGTGAACAAAAATTAAATAAGCTTAAAAAGGAACGTCCATTTATAGTTAACATAATGTAACAACGTTAGATGTATTCAAGTGAGTGTGAATTATTAATCAGCATGCATAACATAAACTTTTGTGGTCATTTGCTTCATTTTGTATTGATATGAATATCAGTCTTTCCGAAACTGATGATGTTGTTGCCAAATCCAAGATAACAAAATTAGCAATTCAAACAATGGACAGATGAATAAAATTACATATCTAAACCCACTAATCAAATGCCCTATTCACAAATGATAATAACTATTGTATAAAGTTATATATTTTGTTCCATTTCAGATAGCAACTACTAACATGGACTCTTTTAAGACTAATAAGAAGATAAAATTAAATAATTTCTATCTGGATAATACAAAACAATTGCATTCGTACACTACATCAGTCAGTCAAATTCCAACTTCTACAAATGTTACTAACCCTGGTGATAACAGTACATTCATTATATATTTTACAACTTTCTTTATCAATGTTTTTAATCTGAATTATAACTATTTCATGTGTGTATATTTGATTATGCAGCTTCAAATAGGAATATCTATCATGTTCAGGCTACAGAGAAAAGAAGAATAAGAAAATTATACTTGGACAATAAAAAAAAGGTTCGACCGAATGAATCCATACAACTACATCAACATCACATCTTTTTAAAATAAATGAAAATGATAATTTACTTAATTCGTTATACACTTTTCTTCTTTATTCTGTATTTAAATTTAAATTTAAATATCTAAATTGAATTTTCTCACATGCTCATTTTTTGTATTATGTCTTTTTGTATATTAATATTCATAGAATATTTTGGGGAGTTACATTATTATTTCAAATTTATCCATTTGTTATCACAATTTTTTTTTGCAGCCAAATTCAAAGGAGTTGTGCATCCAAATAAAAACCTATCCGCATCTACATCAAGTGTCAATGTTTCAAAAAAATCATATTTCCAACCTTCTCCTTCACGTCTAAATGTTAGAACTCCGTTATCTAACATTTCAAATGGTAACTCATTTATACTACCATTTTATTTTATAATATATATTTTTATTGTATCACATTTAATAATGTATACCTTCAATCTTCTTTTACCAGTCATGGATATTTCCGATAACAGTTTTCAATCACGGTTACCAAACATCAGATTGAATTCAAACAGTAACATACTTGATTGCTTATACACTTTTTTTCTCTCTTTTAAATTTGTAAAATAAAAATTATGTCATCCATATTTTTTTATATTATCTATTTATCATTATTAGTATTCATATACTATTTAAAAATTTACAAGATTATTTAATATTTATCCATTTCTAATAAGATATTATTTCCAATCAAATTAAAAGGAGTTGTCAATCGAAATAAAAGTGTATCCACATCTACATCAAGCGCAAATATGTCAAAACAAACAATGTTACGTACTCCTCCTTCACATTTAAATGTTAGAAGTCCGTTATCTAACATTTCCAACGGTAACTCATTTATTTTTCCATATTTTTTTATAATATATGTTGTTATTGTATCA